CCACCTCACCTGCGCCTGATCTCCTCCTCACACACACGCCCCCGCGCCCCCCTGCAGCCAAGTATGCCGACCTGGTGCTGCTGCTGATTGACGGCGGGTTTGGGTTTGAGATGGAAACCTTCGAGTACCTCAACCTGCTGCAGGCGAGCAGGCAGGGGGGCGTTGGGGGGCCACGGTGCCAGCCCGGGCGCCTGCTCGCCTGCCGCGGGCCTGCGCACGCCCCCCTGCCCTCCTCGCCTCACCTTGCACATACACGCCCGCCCCTGCACCTCCTCCGCGCCACCTCCCACCCAGCCGCTGCCCTCCCTTCCTGCCTGCCACAACCCCCACCACCCACACACCCCCGCAGGTGCACGGCTTCCCCAAAGTGATGGGCGTACTGACTCACCTGGATGGCTTCCGCGACACCAAGGCGCTGAAGAAGACGAAGAAGGCGCTGAAGCACCGCTTCTGGACGGAGATCTACCAGGGTGGGTGGTGGTGGTGAAGTGGGGGGTGGAGGGGGACAGGTGGGTGGGGGGGCCGGCGGGCTGGCGGGCGGCGCTGGTGCTGCAGCTGGCTGGGACAGGGCAGGGCTGGGACAGGGCTGGGACAGGGTTGGGCAGGGCGCGCTCAGCGGCCTGCCGCCGCCGTCTGCCGGGCGCACGCCTCTGCTGGCCGGCTGCCCTGCCCCTGCCCGCCAGGCTGGCCCTCTACACCGCCAACTCCCCCCCCGCCCCCTGTGTGCAGGTGCCAAGCTCTTCTACCTCAGCGGGCTGCGCAACGGCAAGTACCTGAGGAGAGAGGTGCACAACTTGGGTGAGAGGCAGGGGGGAGGCTGTTTGTGGTGGTTGGGGGAGGCACTGGGGGGAGGCCGGTTGTGGAAGAGCGAGGGGAGGCGGGCGGGCAGCAGGTGGCGGCAGGGATCCCGCAGGTGCGCTGCAGGAGGGGGCAGGGCAGCGCATGCCCGCCCTGCATGTGCTGGAAGCCTTTCCCGTGCTCACCGGTGCGCACTGGTGCTCACCCATGCTCAGCGCCCCTCCCCCCCCGTCCCCTCCCGCAGCCCGCTTCATCAGCGTGATGAAGTTCAGGCCGCTGAGCTGGCGCCAGGCGCACCCGTACCTGGTGGCAGACAGGTGTGGCAGCGGGGAGGCGAGCGGGCGCTGCCTTGCTGCCTGCGGCCCGCTGGCCTTCCTTCGGCTGCCCTGCTGCTGCACCTGCCTGCCTGCTCGCCCCCCACACACAACACCGCCGCCCCCTGCCCCGCCTG